TTTGACAACCGAGGTCGAGCTAGAGATAAAGAGTTAAGTTTCGGATAGGAAGGAAAGATGGAAAAATGAAAAGAAAATACTTCTTGATTGAAAAAAAAGTTCAAAAAGACGACTATTTATTAAGATCTTCAAAATCAAAATTTGCGAAATATTTTTAATAACATCTATTTTGTATATATACTTCAAAAAAAAAATAAAAAAATAAAAAAAAAATAAGTTAATAATAAATCAATTCAGAAACAGTTTGCTTTTTAATTACAAAAAAATTTATATCATTTCATTAATAGAGTTTTTGATGTATAAATTATACATTAATTTAGCGAACTACCACCAGAAACGAAAAAAAAAAAACCTCTTAAAGAAATGCACTTGTGCACTGACAAAATGTTAACGTGCCAAAAGCCCCAATAACAAAATTTCCAAAAAAGTAGACATTAGTCAAGGGATCCGATTTTTCTACTTCGGATATTTTGCGCAAACAAACTGACACAGAGTAAATAAATCTGCAACGATCGCATAATGAAAGTCGTAAACGGGTTATAGGAAAAGATTTCCCAAATCCCCAGAACAAAAAACAATTGTATTTGAGACAATAAGTTTATAATTACACAAATCAAAATTGGAAAGTTGAAAATATAGTAAGTCAAATACTGTAATAATGTATATAAAATAATGTATAAAAATAATGTATAAAAAAAAGTACTTTATACGCCTATCAATCAATCGTAAATAGTTCGTAAATCAATTTTATGTCATCAAAATTAAAACTTTATATTTGATCATTTAAAAAAAAAAAAAAAAAAAAGACGATCAGTTTATCGTTAGCAAACCATGAACAATCTTTTATATTAACAATATATCAAATAATAAAAAAAATAATAAAAATAATAATAAAAAATAATAAAAAACTCAGACACCACACCACACCAAAACCAATATCTATATCATTTCCAGTTTTCGTGGTACTAAAAATGTCAATGATATTTTCACATTGTCTCTTTTTACAGAAACACACGTTTTTCTTTAATTTTTTTAAATTCTCGATTCTGTATCTTGAAACATACTCTAATATACATAATTATTTAATTCTTTTATATACTGTATCTTTTATATACCGGTACTGTATTATTCAATTCTTTTTTTTTCTATGCTAGCATTCATTTATACCAATTTCTAGTACGTAGAATAATTTATTTTTTTTTTGCACATTATAAAATATGGCGCCACGCCACTCAAGTTTGATATAATATATTTTTAAAACATTAAAAATGGCATATCACGTTATTTTAACAATTAGAACCGGTTAGCACCATATAGTTGGAGCTTCTATCCCTTCGACAACCATACCATACTCTCGGAAGCCAAAAGTAGATCACTGGTTTTGTCATACCTAGAAAAAAAATCAAACACCCCTACAAAAACATCAAAATTTTCCAAATATTTGTATGTTATTAAAAAAAGCTTACATTGTACAAGAATATTTGTCAATATTTGTTTTTTTTTCTGTAGACAAAAAGTATCAAGGCACAGTACAGTACACAGTACAGTATATAGAAACTATAGAATTACACTATACAGCTATAACGTATAACGATAAAAAGAGCTTGTTTAGTAATACAAATGAATCTTGATACTAGAACAAATCTGGCATACAGCGATCAAACATTATACAAAGGATAAATAAATGCGTAGGTAATACGTACATATGTACATATTTTCATAACTTTATATAACTTTATATAACTATCAGTGTTAATCATGTTAATCATGTTAATCAGGCTGAAAATCAAACCATCCCTAATTATTTTTCCGACTCAAATACAGACATGATCAAACGTCAATTTACTAAACTACTTACCCCTCTTTAATCTATTTATTTGCTTTTTTACTGTTAAAATCTTTTTTAATATTAATAATCTTAATAATTATTTTCATTAGAATTTTCCCATTATATATCATTATTTATCTCTTTTAAGCTCATATTCTAGAATTTATAGTTGTTAGGATAATAAATTTGAAACTGCTCCGTAAACAAATACTTATGATCATGTATTAACAAGGAGAATGCGAATTCAAGGGTCTTCTGGTTTTTCAGTTTTTTTTTTTTTTCTTATTCTTTTATCGTTAATACAATAAAATTGATGATAATATCAGATATGTACGTAAGTATGTACGTATTTCGTAAACTATCATGTAGAAATGACACGGACCACTTATCAGGTTCAAAACGTTGATAGGAAACAATTGATACGTATGCTTAAATTGTGATTAGGCAATCAAATCCTTAAATTTGGTATCGGGCTGATTGATATATGTATTATTTAATATTTTATAATTATTATTATAATGTTTGATTTTAATAGTAAAGTTCTTTTTTTTTCTATTAGCAAATTAGTAGATAAAGTCTAACTAAATGAATTCAATTTTTGTCATATTTAGTAAAGCTTGGATTAGAATAATGAACCAATAGATATCATTATTGGATTTTGTTTTTTTTGTCTTGTGCATTTCTCTCCTCTTACTCGTTGGTGTGAAATTATAAAAATAATAAAAATACCAACTCCTGAGACATATATGTATTCATTAAAAATAGTTAAAAAAAAAATTTTGCTTACGTCATTTCAATTATATCATCCAAAATGGATACTTTGTTTAAAACCATCTCTGAAAGATATATGCATCTAAAAAGTTTATAAAATAAAATTAAATTGAAATACATACATATATACCAATAATGTAATCTGACGTAGTTAGTGATGAGGCTACTGTTCTAAAAAAAACTTTTTGTCACACGTCGTGACCTAAAAATTTTGATTCTTCATATAAATTGTTGAATGCGACAATTAAGAATCACCTATTTATTACAGCATTAACATAACTGTAGTCTGAAATAGTCAGTCTGAAATAGTCAGTCTGAAATAGTTTGAATTAATAATGATTTTACTAAATTCATTTTTACAATGTAAAAATGAGTGAAAAAAGATTTAAGATTTAGTAAACGTCATGTGCACCCTTAAATGTCCTGCAAAGTACAATATTAAATGCACTTATACTTCTGTACTTGATTACTTGATCAAAAAATTATGATGTTATAATGCCCGGAAATGCAACCTAATCATATCATGTGAAACTGCTTACTTATGTCTAGAATGTTTCAAAAAATAAAATTGATTAAAATAAATGTAAAATGTTTCAATATATTTAATACAATGTATTTAATATATTGTATTTAATATATTATATATTTAAAAAAAAATAAAAAATTTTTAATGAAGAAAATTAATGAAATGTTTTATCAAATTGCTTTTACAACAATTAATAATATACTGTAATAATAAATTGATATTATTACTTTTATTTATCTCGAATTAGAAGTCGGAATTAGAAGTCAAATTAGAAGTTAGAAAACACACTGTATATTGGAATTTTCAATTTACTGTATAATTTTCTTTTAAAAAATAAATATTTATATTAATCAGGACTATTTTTTATTTATCATGCCTCACGCTTCGCATATCATAGGAAGACTTTCGTATGATTGGCAGTTTAAATCAAATTAATTTTACATTATTTATACAGTTTAAAGTACTTTTTTAAAAAAATAAGAATAAATAAAAAAGAAGTATATAGAAAGTTTTATTAGGGTTTTAGGACTCCACTATTAAAAATAATCAAAAATCCCTTTTTGTTTTAGAGAAGTTAACATGGAAATAACCTAATTCTATCTATCTTTAAGAAGTCGCTATTATACTAACTTCTCTAAAACCAGAAATGATTTTGATTATTTTTAATAGTTGAGCCCTACAACCCTAATAACCTTTTTTATATGCCTATTCTTCGTAGTTTTATTTTTTTTAAAAAAGTACTTTAAACTGAATAAATAATGCAGTAATGTAAAATTAATTTGATTTAAACTGCCAATCATACGAAAGTCTTCCTATTAACTGCATACTGATCAAATTATATATATATACACTATATGTAAAAAAAAATCATTTTCTAAATATATAATCGATATTTGTTTATATATATTTAAATATATATGTAATTTGATTGGTTGATTTAGATACACGTGAATCTATAGACATCTTTTGATAATTTTAGCGTAATATAAAAATTATTAATTAATCAATGTATTTTAAATAAGATAATCAAGTTCATAAATATTTAATTTAGCGTTTAGCGAGTTCGTTACTAATATAGAAAATGCACTAATTACTAATTGTAATGAAAATACACAAATAAAGCAATGATACCAGACGTATCAAATTATCTTCGTTATAATCCCAAAAGATGTTCACTATACTAAAACTCCAACTATAATTTAAAAAAATACCATAAGCAAGCAGATTATAAAGCAGATTATAACTAAGAATTGAAACCATTTAAACATATATAAAACTATATATATATTTTAATTTAGATACGGTATTGGACTAGTGATTTAAGCTGCCGTGGCTAAGCCGGCTGAGCCAGCCAATGTAATATGATCAGCTGGCTAATGCGGCTAAAGATCATACGATTAAGTATATCTGAAAAGGACAAGAACGAGCTAAATTTTTGAGAAATTTTCCGGAGTAAAATATTTTAGTCGGCTGGCTTAGCCAGAAGACTAAAACCTTACGGCTTGCTTAAATCATAACGATAATTTGGACGTGCTAATTACTAATATTTATATACCGAATAAATTCTGATAAAATTCAATTGATATATATGTATATTATTGTATATTACTGTATTTATTGATATATACATTTAAAATTGATTTTAAATATACAATAAAAGTCTGAAAGCCAATGTGCATATTGATGACCGATTAAATTCATTATTTTCGAATCGCTTTACCATTCCTTTCTGCCTATTTCGACCTCCTAAGTCAGATTTGAGAGCTGCTGAAATAAAGTAAAGCAGTTTCGATGACACTATGGAAAAACAACCTACCAGTTTCCTAGTTTATTTCAAAATGTATGATTGACAATAAATGTCCCGATGTCTTCCATCTAAAGTTTCGATGCGGCGTAGTATAAATCGAAGATGTCCACCGGCCGAAGGCCTTCCAAAGAAATCGTACCACTGTATAAATACCTATACAAAAATCAAATTAAAATTTTGAGTAAATAATAATAATAATTTTTTTTTACTGTAGACGATATTATACTTACTTTAATAACAGTTCGAAACTTCTCGCCATGATATCTGGTAATGTTATTTTATAAAAAGAATGATTTTCACTTGACAAAATTTTATTAAAAAAAGTTGAACGGGAACAAAGCACTAAAGAATGTGCTTTGAATGTTTGTTCTAAAACTTCAATGGTAACGTCACAGAACGTTTCCTGCTCAAGAAATATTGAAAAATTCTGCCCAAAATTTTGTCGAAAAACACTTCATATTAATAAAGTATAAAAAAAAAAAAAAAAGTGTATATATCTATTAGTCAGAAATAATAATAATAATAATTATATTTATATTTTTATCCAAAAATAATATAACCTTTCATCAATAGTAGGTTCGGAACTATTAACTCCATTGGTGATAATTTCCTTTAATATAGTATAAAAGGTTAGAAAATTTAACGGAAAGTGTTAAAAAATATAATTGAACTGACCCCTTCTTCATCATTTACGTTGGAACCTCCACTATTCGTTAAACTTCGAAAAAGATTATTGGCCTTGTCTCTTGCTGATTTATATAAGTTACAATCGTTGGCTTTCATTCTTAACTCTCGTTTAAAAATTTCAAAGATCTCTTCAGTGCTGTAATTTGCATCTTTGACATTTGTTGATACGTATTCTTTAGCCTCGGACAAACTCCACCTCGAAAATCTTTCTAACTCTAAAAACTTGCGGACACTTCGTTCTAATTCAATATAGCGTAATTCCATGACCTTAATAAGAAAGGTTAAGAAAGGTTAAGCAAGGAAAATACTAATATTAAGAAATCAAAAAACTTATTAAAAAGCCTGTTCAATATATCGAACGACCAAAAAGGATCTTCATGTAGCGCCAACCAAGAAAAAATGGAAACTCCCACATAATAGTGATATTTTTTCGAATAAAGACTCGTCAAGGATATACAATTTTACGACATCCAGGCAGTACAATTTTACGACCACCATTAGAATAAGTCTTTCGCCTGTCAAATGTATCTAGAGACAACCAGAAAAATCTTCGAGGTGGCCAGTCAGGAAGAAGTCCGGAAATCCACTTGGAGACATTGTAGCGCTCTATAAGAACGTGCGTGACTGATTCCGTCTTCAGAATCAGTAGATTCCATAATAAAGTTTCGAAAAATTTCTGGAGGGAGTTTCCTTCATGGGGCACCAACCAAGAAAAATCCAACAGGTCTATTTGATATATTTAGAGACTTTCAAGCTCCCACAAAATTTTTTGAATAAAGACTTGTCAAGGAAGTACAATTTTACGACCACCCAGGCAATACAATTTTACGATCACCATTAGAACAAGTCTTTTGCTTGTCAAATATATCTCGAGACAGCCAGAAAACCGCCATGGAGTCAATTGTACGCCCCAAAGACGTCTGGAAGAGATCTAGTAACATTGTAGCACTTTACAAGAATGCCCTGATTCCTTTTTTGAAAACAGTAGTTCCCGTAAAGTTTCAAAAAAATTTCTGGAGGAGTTTCTGTGTTTTTTTTCACCTGCCTTGTATGTGTTTATCGAAGATGAAAGTTGTAACTGATAAAAGTATATTTTGACTTTACAGCTTTATATAACATTGAACTAAATTTACGTGTATTTTTGTTTACATAGCAGTCCCAACATAGCGGGCTTTCATTCTTATTGGCTAATTTTTGTAGATCATCTGATGACGATACAAAATCTGATTGGCTA